TCCTCAGAGCAAAAAAGTTGGATCTCTTTTATGTCTACATGGTCATGGTGTTTGAGATTTAAACATAGAGCTGCGTTGCTGAAAGCAGTGTCTTGTTTTTAAAGAAAATATGTTTTTTTTTCTCCCAGCAATATATTTTATATTGTGCAATAGATGTTTTTGTCACACTTTTAATCTCTTAGGAATTAAAATGCCTTATACAGCCTTATAACAAGATGATAAAACCTTTGATTTAGTTATCAACAAAATTCTAATATTTGTTTAGCATTTCTTTCTTCATAAGTTTTACTGTTATATAAAAGCTAGCATAGATTTGCATGTATTTATCAATCTTGAATATGAGTAAAATAAACTTTTTTTTCATTAAATCTTATATGCATACAATATAAATTGGGAAAACTAATAATGAATCAGCCAGTAGACATCTAGACAGAATCAAGACGACTAGCGAAAGTTATAATATCAGACACCAAAGGAGGGTATTTTCTATTTGTTTACTTTAAATATTGACAGGTTTTTTGTCCCAGAAAAGCTCCGCTGATTGTTTCAAACTCAAGCCAGGTTGTTGTATTTCAAATTCCTCATCGGCTAAGGCTCCACTCAGACAATGCTTGATGACAAGACAAAGAAAAACATCAAAAGACTTTGGTGTTGCAGCTCTGTTTTAGAATCTATACCTTAGAAGCTATTGATTTTATCGTGGATTTTACACTTACTACTTGCTATTTCTCCATTGTCAGTCCACACAAACACCTTTTTTTGGCTCTGTCCAAATGTACGCCCTAACCCCCTAAATCAATCACTATATAAGTCCTATTTACACTGCCCTTTTGAAACCATATAGAGATCGGTCAGAGCAGATAACCAAGATAACTGTTTTGTGTATATGGCATGCCAAAGTTAACCGGACATTGCCAGACACAACCGAACCTCGCTAAACTGGCACTAGTTCATCAGTAGGGCTTGGCCCGGTTCAGTTGAGACTCAGTTCTAAGATAACAATGAGCGCATGAGCAGACCGCATCATCTCCTTACAGTCCGCCTCCGTAATCATGAATTTTAAAACCATATTAAAATACTAGCTTCCCTACTTATTTTCAGTGTTGATTCTGCCTAGCAGCGTGATAAACCTCAATGGCTGTCATTGTTTCTTTCGTCTGTAAAGCCTGATTAGACTATCATGTGTCGTATCCACTTCCCAAAGGTTGACTCTGTCAAGTAAATTCAACAAAGGCTGCCTTATTCGCCTGACTCTCCACAAACAATGAAATATCACAATTATAACCAAACTTCCCGAATGTTACATGTGCCGCCATGTTGATTTGCTTGTTTCCCTCTAAAGAGCAGTAGTACCATAGATCGTTACTAGGATGCGAGGAACCGTGGTAGTGTGATTTGTATACAGTCATAAGGAACCAAGCTCGGCACTGTTAACTGATCCAACCTCGGTCCGAGCTCGGCACAGATCGGTTTTCAGAGGGTAGTGTAAATGGGGCTGTAGAGCGGGGCTATATAATGAACTCAGTAAACTTACGGTTCAGACACATGATCACTACTTTTCGCTCCCCATTGCTCACGTAGCTCCGCCTCCGATACCTGCACCATCGTTGTTCTCTTGCCGCCACAACAAATCCCATGATGCTTTGCAAGGAGAGCTCTTACAAAGAATTCTGGGATAAATCTGCTCATCTAGTGATCATAGATGATCACTAGTTTTGAAGACATATTGTGGGAAATTTAGAGCCTGCTACTTTTTCATCCACTAGACATTCAGACACTCATCAAAAATGGTGTAACCACTCTATAGTGCACTATATAGTGATGAGGGCAGACGTTTGGACACAGCCCCACTCTCTTCTATGTTTGTCATTTACATCCTACTTCTCCCTTCTTTTACTTTCTTGACATGTGTGAAAGCGCTAGCGTGCCACCCACGGGCATGGTAAATGCAGTACAATGCCTAATACAGGTTTGTCACTTCAGGTGGGTTTAAATTTCCACCTAAGCGTTTTCCTCAATGATACGTTATTCGACTTTGTGTGGATGTATCTTTATTGACTCTATAGATGAGAGAATGCATGTCCATTTAATTTATACAGGAAATATGTTTTTTCCCTTGTGTTTAGAAGACTAAGAGCCACGAGCTGTGCCTGTTCGGAGCTGTAATGCATTGCTCTTGGGCAAATAAATAGACCATTAAGCTGGCAGACTGAACAGTAAAAGAGTTTCCTCCCCCACACAGTTGCCCCATGGAGCCACCTGAGTCCGTAATAATGTAAAGGAGCAGCAGTTTCTCTTCACAAATCCAAACTTAAACAACTTAGCAGGATTGAAGCTACTTTTATTCATTTGTCATCAAGGTCAACATCATAAAAATAACGAAATGAAAAAAAAAGGTCACAAACAATGTTCTGGCTTTTCTCCCTTATGAGGAGACTTCTTGGGCTTTTAGCAGGGATGCAGCATGTGTTGAGGTTGATGCTGTAATCTATCTGTGCATGCTGTGCAGTGGTGCACCCTGTGGCTTGGCATTAACATACTTTAAAATGACTTAGCTTGTGTTGTACAAGAGAAAGAAAGCATTTGAAGAGAGGGAGGCTCTCAGAAAAGAAGGAGCTGAAACCTCAACCCATGCAAGCATAAAACATCCTCCTCACTTTCCCACAAAGACTTATTTACAGTGGGCAAATTTATGTAATAATTTCAGCTAAGGAAGGTTACTCAGTTCCTCAAGGTGAAAATTGATACATTTAGCACTTAATGAATTGGGCCTGGCCGCTTCCTCAATACATCACCATGTTATTAAGACATTTTAAAATCCCATTATGGTGTTTCTCCTTGAACATGTCATGCTTTTATTGGATTGCCCTGTCTTTAAATCTGACCTTTTCATCCTCGTTTTAGAATTGAACAAAAAAAAAAAAAAAAGTGAAGCCTTGGAAAGATAGGTCAAGATATACATATGTGGTTAAAGAAGTAGCATCTTTGTGACTTCCTAATGGTTTTAATAGAAATGCCCTGTAATAAAACAATCCTTAAAACTAGTGCCTTTAAAAGTATTCATACTCCTTGAACTTTTCAATTTTTTTTTCATGTTAAAACCAAAACTGCAATCTGTTTTATTAGATGTTAATGCTATAGAGCAAGGGTTTCAAACTCTGGTATTCCAGATCGAATGTCCTGCAGGTTTAAGGATGCATCCCTGCTCCAACACAGCTGAATCAAATGAACGTCTCCTTACCAGTCCTTTGCCAAACTTGATGGCAGGCTGAAGAAGTAATCAGTCATTTGATCGTGCTGTGTTGGAGCAGGGATACATCTAAAATCTGCAGGACAGTAGATCTTGAGGACAAGAAATGGAAACCCCTGCTATAGAGCAACGCACGTTAAAGAAGAAGAGTGAAGTGGAATGTAAATGCCTTTTCAAATCTCTCTTTATTAAGGTACTGTTAGTTAATACTTTTTTGATCACCTTTATCTGCAATTATGGTTTGAAGTCTTGTAGGAAGCGTTTGTAGGAGCTTTCCTCACAGCTTTGAGCAACAGAACTCTTTCCACTTTGGGGCTAAAAAGATAAGTCATTTAGCCAATTTCAAGTCCATATGTTGCCCTGAGCAGTAACATTAGAGTAGATATGATATTTAGGTCTAAAAAAGACACTGTTAAAGAACTCTAAAAAATTCACAGGAAAATAAAATGAACCATAGAAAAAAAAAACATACATTCAAACTTAGCTTTATTTGTTTTACTATGAATAAACTAATTTGTGGCAAACTTGATAATGTGGCACAAGAATAGCGTTAAGTTTAAAATTCTTCTAAACATTTAATCTTTTGAAAGGCTGTGAACTGATTTTTCTTCTGGACATCACTAGACAGTTTAGTTGATTTTGTCAAATTAAAACAACTTTAAATTGTTAATGAAAATCATAAGCCAATTAGACACTTTAAAACTCATACAGCAACTACAATTTATTTATTTTTTTACTGCAGCAACAATAAAACCATAAAGATGTGCTGTATAGCAGGTTAGATTTTAGATAAACATATATAAACTTTTCTATAGGTTAAAAGAAACACTTTTGTGTTGTTGTTGTTTTTTGTATAAAAACTGATTTCGTTTACATAAATTAGAGAAAAGGGGGCTGAATATAAAATTAGGCCTTCACATAGTTTTATAGAAAACAAAAAAAAGCAAAGAGAAAAAACTAAAATGTTGTGTAGTTTGAGGTTCACAGTGTTAAAGTGCTGGCAAATGTTCTCTCTGAGAAGTAAAATGGCCAGACGCAATCTTTTAATTCTGAAACATATTTTCGATTTAGAAAAAAAGCAATCAAACTAACCCAACCAAAATAATCAAATAAACAGATATAGTAGGTATTGTTTATTCTACCTTTTCCTCCAACAAAGAGAAACAGGTATGACAAAAGTGTCACAAACAACAGTAATGAGAAAAGAAACAGGTAATATTTGTGAAGGAGGAGAGCGTGACACAAAGGCTGTGATGACAGAGGCATCTAATCCAGGTGATGCCATTCTTATCAGGGTCCAGTGGATTAGAGTGAGCCTCCTAACCAGAGAATTCTTCCCAGCCAGACACTCTCCACAGCCAAAGGGCCTGGATCAATAGGCCTGCATTGATCTCTCTCCTCCTGTGGCTGGATTCACTTCTATTAGGACTGTCTTGGCCCCTTTCTCTTAGACACACATATGTATCCCTTGAAGTTACTGATAAAAACATTTAGAATGGATAGAAGTAGCCTCCACACACACATGTCCTGCTGTATGTAAAACAGCAGAGACCTTTCTGTTTTGTCTAATCTGAACTGCAGCCATGGAGGGTACTGGTGTGTTAATATCCACAGCTGCCAAAATGTTTCAACCAGCTTTGTTTTGATGACTATAGGTTTGGATGAGAGCCCTAAAAGCCGAAGCCTGTCTGATTTTCCTCAAGTAACACCTTTGCTAACCTCTCTGTTGCTCTGTCTTTGTCCACTACAGATGACCCGCCCAATCCAGGTGAAACCTGCCGACAGTGAGAGTCGTGGAGGTAGTTGTCTTCTTTTCTTCATTTTCCATGTCTCTCTTCCTCTTTACATCCTATCTAAGCTGAAAAAAATCTCTTTTCCCTTTCCAATCTCATCGACTCTGCAGTTGTAAATGCATTACTTCCATCAAACAATATATATTTTTTTATTTTATTTATTTTTTATTTTTTGCACACCCTAAATCTCTCTATCATTCATGCTCTTCTTTAATGGCAGCAACTCAGTCCTAGACAACATTAGGCTGTGTCTGAATGTATACTAACCAGATTATATATAAATATATATAAAAACATCTTTTGAACTGGGAATAATTTGCAATAGTCTTATTCAGCTCGAATTGTAATGCTGGTAAGTGATTAGAGAATGATTTATTGAGGAGATGTCGGACAGTGATTGGCTCCCTGACTGCCCATGTCTCTCCTGCTCTTTCATACTCCAAATACATTATTATTTAAGTGTAAATGAGATCGTGATTAGGCTCTCGCCTAGAATAATTTCCACACCAGGGCCTTGTTAAAGCTCAGACTGCTTGATCTGTGAGGATACATTATAGACACAGAGAACACGGAGCAGCAGCATGTAAAGCTTGCCAAACAATCAATAAATTTTCAGAGCGTTTGCCAAGATCCTCATTACTTGGCCTTAATTCTGTCGTCTTTGATCTCTCCTGCTTTTGGATGCTTTCGTTTACTCACTGCCTATTTGCATATATGTTAATATGTTGAGGAGCTATCCTTCAAGTTAGTGGCAGAGACAATGAATCTCGCTATTCATTTTTTTTTGTGCACATCTCATGTGTCTCCCAGTACAAAAGTAAGTGCCTTTTTTGTTATTTAGAGGAGGCTGACTGTTTCCACTCTATCTCATCCCAGTTCAAATTAGAATTTTGGAAGCGAAAAACAGAGGAAGGAAAAAAAAAATGTAGAAATGATGCCAAAGGCGTGCAGCTGCTGCAGAGCACTTCTGAGGCTTTACCTAAAAAACTTTGTTTTGGGTGAATTAGAATGGCTAGCCACTTGGCGGTCGGTCAGATGTCCACAATCTTCAAAGGACAGCAAACCTCCCGGGAATGAATCGAGGAAAGGCCAGCGAAAGATCACTGTCAGCGCTTCAAGAATTTTCTTTCTTACTGTCTCTCTTTCTCTCTCTATCTCTCTCTCTCCTGGTAGCCATTTATTTGGAGTTTTAGAGGAGTAGCCATATGTGCAAAAGGGGTCTTGCGCTTTCAAGATTGATGTCCCCTATAGGTCCATTGATTTTGCCATTGTGGTGCTGTGTGTCCACATTAACAATGACACTCAACTGTCTCTTTACTTGCTTTAGAGTGGCCAGTTTTAGAGCTCCCAGGGCATGGTGGTCAGTATGGGATCCCTTACGGGCCCCAGTAGCTGGTACCGACTGCACTGAGGAGCAAATCAGTGTTGGAGTAGACCAGAGAGTTGCACATCATCCTAAATGAACAGGTCAAAGTGGCACCGTGGGGGCGATCAAACATAGACATGATTTAAAGACATTAGGAGGTGGAGATAAAAGGCTGACATACTGTACACAGCGCGCAAAGGGAGATAGTTTTAATTTGAACCAGATCACTCAGTGGCCAATTTCCTAACTGAACTTTGACCTCCTGAAACCAATTTTTACAGATTCCCTTTAATCATTAAGAACTGAAAACTTAAGTAGATATATGAAGAGTTTACAAAAAAGGTAAATGAATATTAGGTTCTGCATCTTTGATCTTTCCTGTATATTTTTCAGAAAATAAAAATGGATACCCTGACTAAGATCTCTAAAAGACTGCAAACACTTCATGTTGCATAACTGATAAAGTTAAAAGGATAAAACAGCGGAACCTACTGTACTTCGTTAAGCCTTTCTGTTATCCTCTGAAAGTTTCGCTTTCTTGCAGCCTGTATAAAGTGTAGGCATATCTTGACATGCTGTAGGAAAAAAAAAAGTTTTCTCCTTTAAATAGCTTCTTTCCCTGACTTCAAATTTAAGCACCTCACTAATACTTGAAATAGTTTACTTAATGTGCCCTCACTCAGGAACCAAAGAGTGCAGCAAAGATAGTAACTTTCAGCTTTACCAGGAAGCACTTTTTTTACACTAATTTGATTGCCATTCTTTAAATCATAAGTCCTCATTCTGCTTTTGAACTGTATGCTTGGAGTCCTTTAACAGTCACTGGCAAATATGATTTAGCCAGTCTTATGTGGGGAATGTCATTAGCTGCATTTGCATCTTTAAGCAGATGACTGTGATGTTGATGCTCTTCCATGCCCTAGTTTTGCAAGCTTTAGCTGCTTATTTGCTGTAATTCTTATCTTGGCCATTAATTATTGCAACATTTAACTGTCAAAACTGCCCAGATTACATTTTCTTATTTTTTTATATATATACTTAATCATCTGCCACTGCCAGAATCTAAACCAATAACTGCAGGACTAAAGCTCAGCATGGGGTAAAGCTGGAAGAGTGAATGCAGAAAGATATTAATTAGCCTCTCAGTACAACAGAGAGAAAGACACCAGGCACACACTCAGTCTGGCCTGTTCTCTCAGGGGCCACACCGCTAGCCCGACAGGGGGCACATATTCCTGAGCAAACTCTGGCACACCACAACACACAGTCCAACTAATTAGTCCCTTAATCTCATTATGGCAAAGGCAGTTTAGATCACCTGTGCCAGGATGCTGTACATTAGGGATGGGCCTGTTACTGGGATTTCATGCCTGCTAGACCTCCAGTCCTCCTGGAGGAACTATCAGCTGTTATTAAAACCAGACATGCCCAAATGAGATTATGGTACTACTAGTTGGGGTTACAGTGGAAACATAAATCTGTCATACAACCTGAAGAGGTGGTCAATATACACAGAGACATATGGCCCTGGTGGACACAAGGACATGTTCCTTAAATTTCTTCTTAGAATCGTGTTACTTTTGGACATATTGTGGCCAACAACAAAAATGTTAAAGAATCAACACAGGGAAATAGTCTTTCCTATTGGAATTCAATGGAAATGTACATGGTAGAGTAAATCTATCCAAACACTCCGCCAGCCCTTGCTGCAACCTAACAAAGACACACTGTGAAATGAATATTAATGGCCAATCACCTACCTAATCTAGCAGAACAGCAGCCGTTACACAATGAGCCACCAGCACGGTGAGCATCTCCGTCACTGATGACGCAGGCCATTCTAGAAAGCTGTTGGGCAGGCATTTAAAGAGACACAGCAAGAAGGCAGCAGGGACCTGTCTCCCTCATCTTCTTCTCAGAGGTCTGTGATACGATATAGATTGATTTTCCATCACACATGCCACCGATGACTGGCACTGACAGCAGCTGATATTTCATTTTTGAAGCACCAATCACCACCTCCTTAGAGAGCCCGGCGTCTTTACAGAGGATGAATCAGATTTAACCACTCTTATTTCGTCCTGAACCTGCTTTAAAAAGCCACACATACCTTAGCGGTTCTCCATTGCTACCTGCCTCCTCTGGTTTCCTTTTTTATGAGTTGATGATTTCTGTATTATCATATTTTCTCAGTTCAAGACCCATCCTGCTGACAGGCTAAATGGCTTTTCTGAGCAGTTGCTGTTCTTTGTGTTCCTTGGCTTTACTTATTTGCCAGCTTAACCCATCGTTAGGGTTTTTTAGCTCAGAGATTGTTCAGAAGGCAGAAACAAGAGCAGACTAGCTGTCAGCTGGGGCTCTGTTGGTGTTGCAGCAGGCCTGCCTGGCACAGCGAGAGGAGGCCTGGATTAGAAACAGGCTTTGGCATTTTCAAGGCAGGCCTGCTGCCCACGCACACACACCCACACAGAGAAGACAAACAGACAAACACATACAGTACATTTGGCTCTCACACACACACACACACCCCTACACACATTTGCTTCTTCGTCGTGCTAACAAACCCAGTGGGAAGTTTGATGTCCACAAGAACAGGAACATTACAGAACATGTCTAGTACAGGTTACTTAGTACTGCACTTACTGGAAACCTTGGTTAAGAGGTGAAAAAAATCTCACAATAAAATAATCTTTTCGATCAGTTATATATTCTTAAACTAATTTTTCAGTCAAATCCAATTTATAATTTCAGTACATTTATTTAATAGGGTGAAAATCTCATATGAGGATACAATTATTTCACCAGTGAAACAATTATTGCTATTCTGATGTATAACCTCCTTCTACAAATTGGGCAGAAGTTTGTTTTACCTTAGGACATTCAGAGCATCCAGATAAAGATATCTAAATCACTCCTATTATTGGTAAATGTTTTAATAATCTGGAGTTTAGCCCCCTGCTCATACATTAGTTCACCTTAGCTCATCCATTTTTATATTGTATTTAGGGACTAAGATGGCAGTCATAGCAGGTTGACGTGGGCCATCTGTTTATCAATCCTAGAGGCTTAGGATATATACATATATATACATATATATATATATACATATATATATATATATATATATATATATATATATATATATATATATATATATATATATATATATATATATATATATATATATATATATATATATATGCGATAAATAATAAGAAATAATAGCAGATGAAAGATTTACAGATTGTAAACAGCTATAGTAGAGAAGTATGTGTAAGGGATGTTGGATCTGTAGGTTGTTGTGTCTTCACGTTTAGCTTGTAAAAATGTATTGATTTGGTAATAAACTATTTCATAATCTGGTTATAAACTATATCAAATAACCTGAAGATGCACATGATAAAAACCTGTTTTTTTTACAGTTTCATTTATGTCTTAGATTCACTCACCTGCTATTGTAATGATAAAAGGCATCAGAATGAACTTAACTCACAGCTCTTCTGACCCTTATTATTCCGCCTCTGTCTGCTGAAAGCGTGGGTTTAAATGTTGATTTGTTCATTGCTGCCTTGAAATAGCTTTACTGACTTGATTTTATAAAACAAATGCCTCTTGTCTTAATGTTTGATGATCAAACAAA